GGCTCAAGTGGTAGAGTGCTAGCCTTGAGCTGAAGAGCTGAGAGACAGCACCCAGGCCCAGAGTTCAGGCCCTACAACCGGACCCAAAAAAAAGAAAAACGAAAAATGGTCTGAGAAAATACGGCTTTTTAAAAAATATACTTTGGCTTTCTTTAAATATACTTGGAATACCTATCATATCGTGTGGTATTTGATTCAAGTTAGTAATAACTTATTTATGGATTTGCTTATTACTCCTCTATCTGTCCAGAGATCGATTATTTGAGTCTGACAAATCTCATTTTGACTCGCATGTCTCAGTAGAGGGTTGGGCCTAATGAGTCTCTGTAGACTCGTGCTAGCCTGGCTGACTAGCTGACTCCTGGGGCCCATATTGTGTAGTTTCCTGGTCTTTATAGAGTCTTGATTTTACTTTGTATTTTCTGGCTTAGAGCTTTTCCTCTCTGGAATCCATGACCTTAGATACATACTCAAAGTGCCTCAAGGGGAGAAGAAATCATGTGTCTATTTGGAAGCAATTGCTTTACTTGAGTAAGTTTCCCTTCTAAGAAACCTATAGCTCAGAAATACCCAGGGCCTTTCTTCTGCAATGCCCAGAACATAGAACTACCTAGAGGCTCTTCACCACCTTGTACAACTCAGCTTTTACAGTTGAGGAACCTGAGACCCAGAGATAACGACATATAAGGGAATTGTGGGGCAGTGGGCAAGCTATGAATCTCCTGACTCCTTCATGCTCTACTCTTTCTCTATCAGTTGAAAAGAAAGCTTCAAATACTCAAAACCCAAACCCAACAAACCTTTTATGTCAAACACAGTGGCAACTATTTCCGAGATACAAAATGGCAGCCAATCCTATGTTGAGAGGAAATAGGACTCTATCTAAACAGAGAAGCCAGCTGTGACATGGAGCAAGCCCAGATCACCCTCTAGGGACCAGCCACAAGTTCTTTCCTCACGAGTGACCAGAGCCTCAGAAAGAGCTCCTTTCCCTAACATCCTGATCACTACTTCCCAGCTAACCTCCCGCACTTGTGTGCCAAGGCCTGGCTCCTACCCAGCCCCTCCTTGAGCCAGGAGCCAAACCCCAGACTCCCTTGTTCTAGGAACTGGTCCAGAAGCCCTTAGTAGTCAGCTAAGAGGAGCTCTATGTTACAGCCTGGGAGGCCCAACTGTCTGGGTGGGCTGCTAGGACCTTCTGTAGAGACAAAGCTCAGCAAAGTCAGGACAGCTGAGGAAAGGCAAGGTTACTAGACACAGGGCTGGTGAGTGTCTGCTCGGGCTAAGCTCCCCTTTTCCTGGGACTGGAAGGATTTTGATGTCTCTAGTGTCTGGGTGCCCTGCCTCCCCAGGGATTCTCAATCTCCACGAAGGCTCTCGAGGCCTGAGACTTTCCAACAGATGGAGCTGGAATTGGGCAGAATGTGGGCATCTAGGTGACTTCTCTTCTGCACAGGTTTCCCCCATCCCTTTCCCTTTGCTTAGGAAGGCAGAACACTCTCATACCTTTGAGACTGAGTGTTGGGATTGACAAATGGGTTGGTCAGTTCTTTGATCTGATTTATAGGTGGTAGATCTGATTTATAGGTGGTAGTTTTTTTTGTTTGTTTGCTGATTCTGGGGCTTGAACTCAGGGCCTGGGTGCTGTCCCTGAGCTTCTTTTGCTCAAGGTAGCACTTTACCACTTGAGCCACATCTCTACTTCCAACCTTCTCTGAGTAGTTTATTGCAGATAAGTTTTTCACCAATTTTCCTGCCCAAGCTGCCTTGAAATCATAATCCTCCAATCTCAGCTTCCTGTGTAGCTAGGATTACAGGTGTGAGCCACCTGTACCTGGCCAGCTGGTAGCTTTTGGCCACTTTTCTTTCAAAAGGACCATGTAGAAACCCACCTGCATGTGAGTGCAGACCTAATGTGTCCCCCAGGTAAGAGTTTCACCCCTTGAAGAAACCCTTTGAGCTCTGGAAATCGAGTCACCGTAATACACATGATGATACTTATTCCTCTGTTCTTTGCAAGCACTGACTCTCCTATGTTATGGCACTGTTTCTCAAAATTAATTAGATCTGAGCTCCCAATTGATGCTTGTAGGCCCCTCGGGGAGGCCATACTTAGATTGAAACAAAACCAAAAACACAGTAAGTTAACTTCTGTTCTTTCATACGAGGTACTCAATTAGCACAAGGGACACTGTAAACACAAAGGCCAACTTGGATTCTGAAGCCAGATGGCATCACTCAACTATAAGGTCATTCCCACATGGTTCAGAATGTTCTTATGTTGATTTACTTGTTTTGAAGTTGTCAAAATGAAACAAAATATTTAAAATTCCTAGTGGCACTGTGGCTCAAGTGGTAGAGCGCTAGCCTTGAGCTGAAGAGCTGAGGGACAGCGCCCAGGCCCAGAGTTCAGGCCTCACGACTGACAAAAAACAAAACAAAAAATACTCCTTTAGAACCCACAGACTCCACCTCTACTTCTCTGCCCATCCCAGTCTTCTAGGGATTTGTAGGTGCCCTTTTAAGAAACAGTGTTATGGAAAGATTTTTTTCCTCCTGCCTAATGAGAGTTAGGAAGCTAGGCCAAGTTTGGGCTGTGTGTCATGTCAGAGGAACTGAGGAAAATCCATGCAGCTAAGTTGGGATAGCCTTTCCTCTAAAGGTTACCTGATTCATGACCCTGGTCGACATCCTAGTCCATTGTTTGACAGCTCCTGCCAATGTAATCTCTTTACACTCAAAGCTGGCTGGCTGCTCTAGGAATTTTCACTGATTGGTTGTGCTCTTGACTTTTGATCAAAACAAATCTCAAAAAATATTGGGGCAGAAGTCAAGCAGGGCTGCATTGAGTGCTCTGTGGGGGATGGGGAGTTGATACTGGGCATGAACACAGGGCTTAGGCACTGTCCCTTAGCTTTTTCATTCAAAGCTGGCACCCTACACTAAGCTGCCACAGCTCCACTTCTAGCTTTTTGGTGTTTAATTGGAGATAAGAGTCTCATGGACTTTTCCTGCCCAGGCTGGCTTCTAACTGTCAACCTTAGAGCCCAGCCTCTTGAGTAGCTAGTATTACAGTTGTGAGCCAAAAACACCTGGCTTTTTTTTTGGGGGGGGGACGGGGAGGGAGTCGTGGGGCTTGAACTCAGGGTCTGGGTGCTGTCCCTGAGCTATTCTTTGCTCAAGGCTAGTAGTGTGTTACCACTTTGATCCACAGCACCACTTCCAGCATTTTGGTGGATAATTGGACATAAGAATCTCACACAGACTTTCCTGCTTGGGCTGGCTTTAAAACTCAGTCTTCAGATCTCAGCCGCCAGTAGCTGGGATTACAGGTGTGAGCCATCAGCACCCAGCTTTTTTTTTTTGGGGGGGGGGTCCGGTCGTGGGGCCTCAACTCTGGACCTGGCCGCTGTCCCTCAGCTCTTCAGCCCAAGGCTAGCACTTACCACTTGAGCCACAGCACCACTTCCGGCTTTTTTCTTTTTGCTTATGTGGTGCTGAGGAATTGAACCCAGGGCCTCTGGCATGCAAGGCAAGCGCTCTACTGCTGAGCCACCTTCCCAGCCCTCTCCCCACCCCCTTTTTTTTTTTTAATATAAGTGTATCAAGAAGTTCATTGGAGTAGCCAGTGAATGTCCTGATTTGTTTCTGAGAAAAAAAAAAAAAGGTACAGATGGGAAAGATGGGAATTTGGAGAAGCACAGATGGGGAAGTCTTTTCATTTGATTTGTCACTGAGCAAAGACTGGAAACTACTGAGAATGTCAAGACACACAGATGTAAACCCAGGGAGGAAGAATGATCCAGATAACTTGGCAAGCATGGCCAACAGGGGATGCATTTTAGCAGAGCTCAGAGAGGTAGGAAGGACATGTATACCAAGAAATGATTGGGGAACTTCAGCCCAGGTCTCCCATGGGGCCAGGGCTGAGTGTTGAAGGAAGATTAAGACCTAGAGAGGTCTCCAAATGACTGATACAAACTGCTCCTGCCACCCACACCGGTAAAGAATGACTCACATCTCTGTACTTGATTTGCTGAGCCAAGCTCTGCTCTCTGACGCTCTGAGCATTTGATCAAGTGATTTTGTACTGTTGCTTTTTTTGAAATTGGCTTCATCTCCTTTTTTTTTTTGTTGTTGCAAAATGATAGCCTTTGTTATTGATGATATCTAAATGAACATATTCTAAGCTTTGGGTATCACACAATTGGAAGATTTTGTAGAGCCCACATTTACATTTACAGAGACAACTGCATTGGAAAATATCTGCTGGTCTCTCACACTTTTTCTTCCCGGGGGGCGGGGGGCAGGAATGCTGATACTGAACTAAAACTTGGGGTCTTGTACTTCTGCCTTTTTTTTTTTGCTTAAGGATGGCACACTACCACTTGAGGCACAGCTCCACTCCAGCTTTTTGCTGGTTAACTAGAAATAAGTAGCTCATGGATTGTTTTTGTTGGCCTGTCCTGGGGCTTGAACTCAGGGCCTGGGCACTGTCCCTGAGCTTCTTGTGTTCAAGGCTAGGTGCTCTACTTGAGCCACAGCTCTACTTCCCGCTTTTTGTTTTTTTCTTGTAGTTTATTGAAGAGTCTCATAGACTTTCCTATCTGGGCTGGCTACAAGCTGCAATCTTCAAATCTCAGCCTCCTGAGTAGCTAGGATTACAGGCATGAGCCACCAGTGCTCAGCTAATACTGTTACTCTTAGCACTGTATCTCCAAGGAATTGTTTTTGTTTTTCCCATCATGGGGCTTGAACTTGGGGCCTGAGCACTGTCCCTGAGCAATTTTTGCTCAAGGCTAGTACTCTAGACCTTTAAGCCACAGCTCTAGTTCTGATTTTCTGGTGGCTAATTGGAAATCAGAGGTTCACAGACTTTCCTGTGTGGACTGGCTTTGAACTGCGATCCTCACATCTCAGCCTCCTGAGTAGCTAGGATTATAGGCGTGAGCCACCGGCTAGAATTCGTTTTTTTTTAAATCAAAACTCCCAAGACCTTGTTTGAAGGCTTTAATTTATTAATGGACCAGAGAAAACAGCACAAAATGACTGTGAGAGACCAAGAATGACACATAGGGGATCATTCTGCCCAGCTTCCTGTGTACATTGGAACACAGACTCCCGTGCCCTCGGATGTGAGGAGGCTTGTCCTGCAGGGGGACAACCCGGGAAATCTCTCAAGGAAACTTTCCTTCCACAGGATCATAAAGTGGCGCCTCTGAGACCTGAAAGGCACAACTCTTGAAAAACTTCTTTTTTTCTAATTCACAACTACCTTTTTGCACACACCTTTGGGTTTCACTTGATTTTTGTCTGAAGCAACGCACAGAGAGACAGATAACAAGCCCCAACCCACTTGATTCTGTTCTTCTGTGCCGCTTCATGGTCTAGACGTCTACATCTAGGTTTATCCCTCTCGCACTTAGAAAGTATTAAAAGAGTTTTCCATCAGCCCTGGGAGGTAGCAGGCAAGCATCGCAACTCCAGAACACAGAAGACAGAGTGGTAACTGGTGGAGATGGTGGCTGAAGCTATGTCCTCTGGCTCCTGGTTGTGGGTTCCTTCCATTCTGAGATGAACTAAGCTCACTGACATTAGCCAAGCCGAGTCTCTGATTAGAACACAGTCCTTTGGGCTTATACACACAATGATTTAAAGGAATAGACTTCATCATCGAGCTCAGGAGTTAACATACACCTTAACCTCAGCATCAGAGGAATGAAGGGGACAGAACGTGAACATCTTCAACAGGGTTTCTGCTTGTTCGTTTTGCTTCTCACTGGACCAGACTGAATGTTAACAACTTGAAAGCAGCAAAGTCCAAGAAGAAAACCAGTCAAAGGACTTTGTCATCTAGCAATTTATTAATTCCTTCACAAATCCTCTTGAGGTTGGGCCTACAGTCCCCACCCAGACTATAGAGGGTGGAAAGGAACTCAACATCAGCAAAGTGGTTGAAGACATGGTTGATGCGCCCATGGGTCCTGGGCGTCAAGTGGCGCTGCACCAGTTCGTGTACCAGGTCCTTGCACTCATGAAGGAGCTTGGAGAGCACGTTCCTGTCGAAGGTGTATTCTACCTCGTAGAAGCTGACCATGGTCATGGCGGTCTGGTTCAGTTTCTTCCGGAACTTCTCTACAATCACAATCTCCTCCTGGTTGAACTGGTTATTCCGGTAGAGGATCCCAATTTTGATCGCCACCTTGATTAAGTCTTTCATGATCTTATGGGCCTCCTTCTTGTTGTGGGTATGTTCTTTGGTGACTTTGTAGAGCTCATCAAAGATCTCACTGCTGGTGTCATCGATCAACATGTTGGCCACAGTTTTGCTGGCTATTTTGCTCAGGATCTTCTTCTGGGCTTGAAGGGCAAGACTCTTGGAACTGAATACATCAGGACCTATGAGAAGGAAAGAAAGAAATGTCTTGAGAACTGTTCATTCCACTCCCACAAGCAAAATATACTAGGTTGAACGGCAGTCCTATAGCTTTCCAATTAAACAGGACTCCATTCTGGAGACCTTGCTTTCCTCTCCATGTGTTCACCCTTGGAACCTTCTAAACTGTGCTTGTCCTTCTGTGGGAAGTGGTCTCCTCTCATGCAAGCCATTTCTCATTGTTTTGACCTGTCCTATGCATAACAACTTAACTATCTTCTGGAGAACTTCCTACAACTGCAGTCACCATGGAAACCATTCAGTTTTGCAAATTAGATAAGGGAAAATTATTGCATAGCAACAGGAATGTTAACCCCAATGTCAAGCCCATTTCCAAGGCAGAGACAGAGTTGATGGATCATGGAAATCTACATGTAGCCCAGGCTAGCCCTGAATTCCTATGTTGGGATTATAGGCAGGTGCTACCTTGCCTGCTTCACCCCTAGAACGTCAACTTCCTGTATGGTCTTAGGATTCAAAACATTTGTTCAACACATGCATATGCTCAAGGAAGATTCTTGTGACCATAGGTTTCCCAAGTATTAACATTTGTCTTCTTGCTGAGCATGGTGAACTATGAATGTAATCCCAACTTTTAGGAGGCAGGGCCGGAAGATTATAAGTTTAGGGCCTGCCTGGGCTATACAATAAGATCCTGCCTCAAGAAAAATAAATGAGAGAGAAAGTAGAGGGGGAGAGAGGAAGAAAGAGGAAAGAAGGAAAGAGAGGGAGGTAAAAGGAAGGTAAAAGAAAAAGGACGGAAAAAAAGTTTGGGAAGGAAAATTTTTTTAATTTGATATTAAAATGCATGCCTTTCTGTGAGCCTTTATATAAAATACTTGTGAAATATAGTAATATGCCCCATCAGCTTCTAGAAAGGAGTGAAGTAACAGGTAGAATAATGGCTCCCAGTTCCCATATCCATTAATGCTTGGAATCACTGGATATGCTTTTAAGTGGCAAAAGAGATGTGATTAAGATGTGATTACCAACAGGACACATGCAATCACAGGGGTTACTATCCATGAAAAGAGGACAGAGAGAAAGAGAGAGAGAGAGAGAGAGAATGAACGCATGTGTATGCATGCATCCGTCCATCCAGTAAGTGACAGGCAGTGAACTAAACAAAACTGCACTTTTGGGGGGAGAGAGTGAGAAATGAGAATGTGGAAGGAGAGGCTGGGGCAACTTGATCACTGCTCTGCAGTGGAAGAGGTCACAAGCCAAGGAACGTGGGTGGCCTCTAGAAGCTCCAAGGAGCAAGGGAAGGAATTCTTCCTATAGCCTCCAGAAATTAAGGGGCCCTGCCAACACTTTGATTTTAGCACCATAAAGCCTATTTCAGGCTCCTTCCCCGCTCCCAGAAAGGTAATTGCAGTTTTTAGTTTACCACTTCTCACTGGATGGAAGCATGCACATGTGTGTGTTGGTATGCATCATGGGAACTAGCCTGAAGGGCTTCCAAAAAATCAAGACAAGCTGGCCAATTAGAATGTACGTGTGTGTGTGTGTGTGTGTGTGTGTGTGTGTGTGTGTGTGTGTGTGTGTGTGTGTGTGTTACCCAGAGATCTATGGGGGAAGAAGGAGGGTGAGGGGAGACTCCAGTTTCAGCATCATACCCATTACTACTGGTTTAGTACCAAGAGATCAGTCCTACTCAGGAGATTTCCACAGCATGGAAACCTTGGGCTTCTATCCATCCTTCTGTCTCAGACCTCTGCACAGGGAACATGAGTCAGGGTCCTACTGGGAGTGACATTGCAAAGCATGAGGACAACTTTGCAAGCCAAGGACAGAGGTGCTTGGGAGGGTGCTTGGTGAAGCACAGCTAACCAGCAGGCACATACATATTGGTGGGGGAAACATCCGGACTTGCATGACAAGCTTTAGCACAAACTTTTTAATTTTTTTTTTTTTTTTTGTCTGTCGTGGGGCTTGAACTCTGGGCCTAGGTGCTGTCCCTGAGCCCTTCAGCTCAAGGCGAGCACTCTACCACTTGAGCCACAGCACCACTTCCAGTTTTCTGGTGGTTTATTGAAGAAAAGAGTCTCACAGCCTTTTTCTGCCCAGGCTGGCCTTGAACCGTGATCCCCTAATCTCAGCCTCCTGAGTAGCTAGGATTATGGGTGTGAGCCACCAGCGCCTGGCTAAACTTTCTAATTTCTGTATATAAATATTAGGAAAGCACTTTGGGCCAGAGATAATTCTCTTTATGTCTAAACGAAATTTCCCATTCTTCAACCATGAAAGATAAGGAATCATGATGATATCTCACAATCTCCGAATAGAGAGAAAAAAGGGAATGATGGTGCAGCTAATGAATAGCTCATGTGATTAGGACCGTGAGACAAGACTGAGGAAGCTTAGATGTCCGAAAACCAAGACTGATGACAGAAAGAAGAGAAGATCTGAGAGTAAGTACCCTCAAGAGGTTTATAAAGCAAAGGAATATTCCCAAATCTCTGTTGGGGATTATGGTGTGCAATGGTAATGAACTTGTTTGGAGAGCCATGCTGGAGCTAAATCCAAGTGGGCATTTCACCACGTGGATGAGTCCTGCGGCCAATGTGAGTCACTGCTTTTGTAAGTGCTGTGCAGCCAGAGTACAAGTGATGTTTCCATGTCTCTAGAAAATACTAAACTCTCCCAGATGGTGAAATGCCAGGCTGACAAAGACAAACAGATATTTTACCAAGCCGGGTGAGTGGGCAGGAAAAGAGGCAGATGAGCGCCTAGTGAGAACAAGGTGCTGAACTTTGGGGACAAATGATGTGAATGATTATTGAAAGAAAAAAAGAAAGACAGGCTCTGAGCTATCAGCTTACAGGCCAAGAAAGAAGGTTGAGCATTACCAGGATGAGGAAGTAGAAAAAGATCAAGATCCTTCCTGTCTCTTCACTAAGGAGAGTGTGTAGACAACCATAACAAACTTAGACCATTGGAAATGATTTGTCATACTCGGCCAGTGATAGATTAGATCACTTCTGGCCAGCCACCAGTGGCTCACACTTATAATCCTAGCTACTCAGGAGGCCGAGATTTAAGGATCATGGTTCAGAGCCAGCCTAGGCAGGAAAGTCCATGAAACTCTTATTTCCAATTAACCACCAGCAAACCAGAAGTGGTGCTGTGGCTCAAGTGGTAGAGTACTTGCCTTGAGCTCAAGAACTCAGGGACAGTGCCCAGGCTCAGTGTTCAAGCCCCATGACTGACCAAAAAAAAAAAAAAAAATCACTCTGCCAAACACTTAACAGGATGGCCAGCAAGAGCTAGCCAAAAAAAAAAAACGTTAAGAAGAAAAAAGTGTTCAATGAGCATTGTCTGTCTAGGCAAAGGACCCAGGGCACAAGGAAGGCAGGAGGGAGCAGCTCAAGGCCATGGAGAGGGTTAGGGAGTCCGAATTTCTGCCACTCACATTTAACTGTTGGGGGAACTAGAAGACCTCAAGTATACCTCCTTGAGATGGAAAAGACCATAAACCACTTTGAACTTGAACTTTCATGTTGAGCAACCTTTTTTCTCAGCTGTTACCATTATATCCTTCACTATAACAAGGAGGGGACAAGAGTCAAAGGGGGAGGGTAATGGTCTCCTCCTCCCCTTCCATTTCCTTTTCTGATCTCTGATAAATGAGGAAGTGGCTGACTATAGAAGAATATGGTCCACAGGATGAGGACACCAGGACAAAGGTAAAATGCATTCTGGAGAAGACAGCCTCTGGCTTCGGCCAACTGTAGTTCTTGGTTGTCCTTAAGTAGCTGTGGCCACAAGACTGCTAAGGAACCTTAGTGTCTTTGAAATGTGGTTTCCAGGAAGACGGGGTTATTGCCTCTCTTTGGAGTTAAATGGCATAACATTTTCCTTTTCCTTGCAGAAAACCTGTTGTCTGTATATTTCTGAAATAGTGAAAGAAAGAATGGGGAACTGGAGGAAATAGAATGGAATAAGATTGTTAAGGGAATGGTGGAGCCTTTGAGTTAGGGATAAGCAATAATCTTGATTTTTTTTTCCCCCACTTTCCCCAGAAAAATGATGGAAGCTTAGAAGCACATGAAAAATAATGCTTGTTCCAAGGCCTTTCATACTTGAGAGGAATGATATTTTTGAGGTGTATGAGAGATTTTTTTACAAAGACTTTGAAAGGCATCTACAATGCAACCTGTATGGGCCAAGGAAGGTTGGAGGGTAAACTCTTCTGAGTGAAGGTTAACTTTAAGTTAATCCTTGAGGACTTCATTGGGTTCGGATCTCCCTAATCCCCCAATGGAATCAATTTCCTTGATGATACATCCCGTGAATGAGTGATAGAAGTCATCTTCCTGGAAGACCTGAGGTCCCTCAATTTTCTACCACTTGCCACAAGAAGCAAGCAGCTTGGGGTCAGGTCACCCCAAGGGGTCAGATCACCTTTAACAGGTACACAAAATGAAAAGATTAGAACTTTCTATTATGTTGCCTTTTTAAAATAATGAGATTGATTATGATTTATTGTTATCTAATATATAGTCGGTGCTAGACCCACACTCTGAGAGATAACAGGAAAGTCTCCACAGGTAGGCCTGGGAGGGGGTGTTTAGTCCATCCTTCAACTTACTCCTTTTTAGTAGGTTTGATTTCTTTCAGCATATGTTTATATGTTTGGTTATTAAACTACTGATTATACTATCGAATTTTAACAAAACTAATCCTTGCAAAATGGACCCGTGATTTCAAAAGGTTCCCGAAAGAAACACAAGCAAGTACTGATGATGAGTACATGTGAACAGGACAGAAATGGCAAAGGTGATGAGTGATCAACTTTCAACTATCCAAGTAACAAACATGTCAAGAATTTATTTATTTATTTTTTGTCAATCGTGGGGCTTGAACTGTGGGCCTGAGTGCTGTCCCTGGGCTCTTCAGCTCAAGGCTAGCTCTTTACCACTTGAGCCACAGTGCCACTTCTGGTTTTCTAGGGGTTTAT